TATTAAGTTTAGGGTTTGGAATATTAGCCGCCCTATTGAAGATTGTGTATAGATTGATATATTCCTTATTAGATTTCGTAAGGAGGAGATTTATTATTTTAATTACCGAGTTAATTATTAAAGGCTATAGTTCGATAGGAATATTATATTTTAGAATTATTGCCCTTATTCTTCTTATTATTACTCTCTTAGTTCTTTCTAGCGCTTTATTTATTTAGGGAGTATGTACTGGGGTCTTAATAATTTCGATACTTTTTTAGCGCCCTTAAGTAATTATTGAATCGTTTTGGAAGTCCTTGGAATCAAAATTAAATTTTGTACTACTATTTAAACTTAAAACCTTTACTTTTAAATTTGTTTGTAATTCGATATGTTTCTTCTATTCCTTAATAGCTATTAAACTATCCTTCTTTTCTTTAATTATTTTAATTTAGTAAAAACTGTCAACTATATAGATAAAATGAATTATATATTTATATTCTATATATTTTAGGATATTGTAATTCAAGGTATTAATCTTTACGAATTCTAAGAGCTTTATTACTATTAGGTTTGAAACTTTATATATAATATTTATTAATTTATTTCCTAACTAGGTATTATAATTATTTTAAGTATTCCTAGTATTAGCTAGCTTTATTCTAGTATTTTTGTGGGCTTTTAAGATTTATTTTTTTCCCGTATATATTAGGCGGCGGTATATAATATCGTAATTTATTATGCCGACTATCGCTAGGCCTGGCATTTAATGGTAGTACTTCTAATCGATCGATTCTAGTAGTGAAATTAGTAAGATTAGTAGGTTATCTATTTAGTAATATTATATTTATTATCTTTAATACTTCCCCTTATTGAAAGATAGTTTATTCGTTTTCATATTTTATACTATATTGCTATTAATTAGACCTATTATCGTTATAAAATTGGCCGGTATTAATAGAGAGAATATTGTATTTTTAATTTTAATAAGGATATAATCTCTTAATATCATTAATAGTCGTGATTTAACTATTTTAATATAGTATAATTTCGAATACTAGCTATTTCCTACCTAGTAGCTTATAGACCTTAATAAAGGGTGTAGTTCTATAAACTATTTAACGTTGTTGAAAATGTTTGATATATATCCGCTATCGAATATTATTATATTTTTATATAATAAATTTGAAGTTGCTTCGGGAGTTTGTTGGATTTTGACGAGATTTAATTGAACGTTAACGCTACTTTGTATATATTTAGAAATAATTGGTTCTAAGTCATTCGTTAGGAGCTTTAGTAAAAAATCTTTAGGAAATCGTTGTCGAAGGATAGGCTATTTAAATTAAATAATAAGTTGGAATTGACGGTAATAGTAGTTAGGTTGTAAATATTAGAGTTATTGCCTGTAATTATAATAATTATATTAGAACCTATAGCCTTATTCTTCTTTTTAATAGCCTTCTTCTTATTCTTCCAATTATATGGGGCCTTTTTGGGTTTATATTATTAATAGTCAGGAATATTAGGGGTATGATAATAATTATAAGAGAAATATTTCTATTTCTTTATAATTCTTTTATTATATTTATTGTAGGGGATCAAATCTTAACTGTTCCTTCCGGTATTTCCTTTTCCTTTATTACCGTTTTCGGTCTTCGTAGTCTTTATTTCGATTTTAGTAATGACTATATTATTATAGGATTTTTTAATATTAACCAAGGCTAATAATAAGCTTAAGAACTTCTTAGTAGTAAATTATCCTTTATTTAGGTTGGTAGCCTATAGTTTAGTATTAATTGGGTAGGAGTATTTAATAGCGTTGAAAAGGTTTGTTAATTCGATATTATCGTTAATAATATAGCCGATATCCTTAACGCGCTTATATAAGGCCTAGTAGCGTATAAGGAAAGATTCGAAGGAAGTAAAGGAAGCTCGTTTGAAGGTTTAATATTTATTAAGAACGTTATTTTTGGCTTCGTTGGTAATACTAAAAATACTATTACGAATTAGGTCGAATAGATATTTCGGGTTGTTGTTATCTTTATTTTAGCTATTAATTATTAGAATAGATTATATATTATTAGTATTAATAATTAAATAGATAATATTTATAACTTTAGCGCAATTTATATACTATTTGGCTAAGGCTTTCTCGTCTTTAATCTTTATAGTATCTTTAATTTTAAATATAGGGATAGTTGTAGTAATATATGGTTTAAAGCTAAGGGAAGCTAATTAGACCTTTAAAGTATAAGCTTAATTATTAAAGTTAGTTTTACTTTTAAGAGAAATTAACGTCGCAGTTATATTATACTTTATAATAAGCGTATCGTAATTAAAATTAATTAGTAAAGTTATTAAATTAGCGGGTTAATTCGCATTTTTATTAGTTGACGCTGTAGTATATAGGTAGGAAGTTGTATAATTGTTAAGAATCTTTATTCTTCGTAGCGAAGTATAGTCGTATTGTAAATTAAAGTTGATAATATTTATCGGCGGGCGGGGTTTTTGTTTCGTGGGCTAAGGTCGATAAAATTTGTTAGCGGGCGGGGTTTTGTAATTGATTTTTAGATACGCGCGACGGCAGTAATGCGATACGACGATGCGATTGCGAGTAGAGGGCTTATAACCTCTTGGATTAGAGGGCAAAACGCTGTATAGATGTATATACTATAGAGAGAAGACTAGAGTTAAGAGGGAAAAGAAGTGTGGAGGGCTAAAATATAGGAAAGGGTGTGAGGGTATAGACCTATACGATAAGGGAGGTGGGACAGGACCCACCCGACAACACTGGATCATGATTCGACCTCGATTGTCGTTGGGCTGTTGGCCCTCCTAGCTGAGAGATCTTCACCCGGCTTGAGCCGCTGTACCTGCAGCCAAGTCAGTAAGGACTAAGGCCAGGTACGCAGCAAGGAACTTTGGGTAAGGTACGTACCCCCGAGGCATTTTAGCCCTGAAAGTGAAATCCCGTCATCTTAACAATCTGCACGAGATGCAGCTCCGTAATGAGCTTACAAGAGGATCGTCACTGGTAGTGTTTGTAATACCCTCAACTAGTGTAACGTCCAATGGCCCAATGGCCACAAAGGAAGCTCGTGGGCAACGTTTTGTTTTCAGGGAAGCGATCTTGGGAAAACCGCGCGGGCGGTCGTGTTTCAAGCTAACGCACCAGACCGCGACTTGGGGTTGGATTGAGGGACCACCGGCGAAACCCTCAACTGGGACTTACCTTGGGAGGCACCACCTGCATCACCGACTTGCATACAGATCGGTATGCCTAGGTATCGTTGGTGCAAATACCAGAATCACTGAACATGAGGAAAACACACTGACACGGCAGCTTGGTCAAGTTCAGTTGGATGCAGACAAGACGACAGCTGCCTACCTACTTAACCTCGATATTAAATACCCGCGTGCAACCAAGGACGGAATGTCAGTGACATGGTACTGAGGATATCCCATGCTGCTTCCCCGCGCCGAGGTAGTAATAGCTAATAGGGTTGAAGCTTCAATTTCCGCGACATGATTTTCTGGAACAGCCTTCGAAAAACCCAACAGTCCGTCACCGTCTCGTCGAACGAGTCCTCGCTTGCGCGTAATGTCACACTGCAGTAGGCTGAGCCAATCCGACCTTGAGCTCTGGCCTAGACCTTGGGGAGCTGCACTGTGAATAGCATCGACACAATGTTTTCTTGGGGAGAGTGAAACGGAAAGCCACATGACGAAGGCAGCGTGCACTACCAGTTGAATCAAATTCAACGCATGAAGAAACCTAGGACCTATAGGCTTTTTCCTTACCTGCACCTCACAGATTCTATTTGTTCAGGCAGGCAGGCACATTAAATGCCTGATACTAATGGCAGGCAGGTGCATACAATATGCACGGACGTATGCAGCACTGCAGCATCTGCGTGTTGTGCCGGCTCGTCTTCGGTCCCAGCAACATGCAGATGTCTTGCCGGCCTTCCTTCGCTTCCGTTATGTGCGTGGACTTTTGCCCTTTTGATCCGGGCGCACGTTCGGTTCAGTTGCATCCGGCAATAAGGTAGCGTAACGACCCTGATTCACCCGTCAGCCTTCAACCGGCATGGTTTTCCGCCCAGTTCAATCCTTCGAAGTCCCACGAGGTCTTGTTTCTCTTGCTCGGTCTGTTAGCTTCTGTATAGCTTCAAGCCACAGTATCTGGGGGCCTGGGGGCCAGGTACGTAGAGAAACCGATCTTCTGCGCGGAACTGGGATGCGCTGATCCGTCACTTGTCCAGATCATCTATCGAATTTAATGCCCTGTGCACGGAGATATCATATAATCTTTTTTTGATTGGCCGTCTGAGTCTCGACGCTTCCAATTGGCAGGGTGCCTGTGTAGGAAATCGAACATGATTCGATACCAAGGGAAAGGACTTGAGAATGCAAGTGGTTCGAGTTCTCTCTCCCCGGCTAATTCAACAAGCAAAACAAAGCAAACACACACTCGTCGACAAGATGAGGCAAAATGACCATGATGATTGTTTGTTTCGAAAAAGTAATGCAAGACTTGATAGAACGTCTTGACCGCCTGCTCTCAGTACGGTGCCGCATGCCTCCACTCGGACGTTTTGTGTTTGGTGAGCACACTGCCAGACAAACATTTCAGAAAATACGGAGCTCAACACTCAGCTCCGTCACCAGCAGTGGGTTTCAACGCCAAGCATCTGCAACGGAAACGGACTCAGGAGCACAGATGCCGGTCACTTCCCACCAGAACCCACCACACCTGGCGCTAGTCAAGGGTTACCCCTGGCTCTCAGGGACCAGAAGGATTCCGCAGGAAATCAACGGACATCCTTGGGATTTTGGGAGACTGGGACCTGGACGGATTGGGGATGGAGGAGGACGAGGATGGATGGGCACTGTCATCAACCATGGCGGCATGGAGGACACACGCACTCACACACAGTCCGCTTGCTCACTCTCACAGTCTCACCAGGGGTAGAAATCACTCCTGCATTATATGGACCCCATGCCCGTCGCATCCCCCACAGTTGCGAGGTTTTCCTGAGGATAATGCTCTTTTGCTTTGTGACTTTCGGACTCTGACCCTGCTGAGCTTTCGTTTGGCTGACTATCTTACTGACACTCCCTCGAAACATCTCACTTGCTCACTCACTCACGTCAGAATCTCATCGCATATATACATCTCCCTCCGAAAACAACGACAAACCACAACAAACAACAACATACTTGGCCCGGAAACTCGCCAAGTCGATCCCCGTCCCGTCCCGTGTCCACTTCGGCCGAGGGCGCCGATTGTATCTGAGTGAGAGGAGCAGCGAGAGAGATCCACGGTCCCAGGTCCACGGGGCCCTGTTCGAATCCACCTCCACTATCCACTGTCCACTGTCCCCAGTCTGCAGTCCACCAGCTTGACACCGCCCACATCCAGTCCACCTCCAGACGGTGGCCCAAGTGTTGGCTATGATCAATTGAAAAAGTTTGGTCAGAAAATGGCCCGTTTTAGCTACAGGCATTAAGTACGCGCTTAGGCGCGTTAATATAGATTTTATATTACTAAACCCGTAGGTACGCTACGTATAGCAGCGGAATTCTACCGAAGGTAAAGAAATAGGGGTTGACAAATTCAGAGCACATTTATTATAAGAAACTAGGAATAAAGTAATAAAGTAATAAAGTAATAAAATAATAATTAGAGGTAACGAAAAAACTAAAGGTAATAAAAGTTAATTAAAATTAATAAAATTTGAAAGTTTTGAAGTTTACTAAAATTTAGGGTAGTAGTATAAATAGATCCTCCGGTTCTTCTTTAAATTTTGGTTAGAAAGTAAATGAGAGCTTTGAAGTTTGCTAAAACTTTTTTAAAGTAGTAGTATAAATAGATCCTTCGCTTCTTCTCTAAATTTTAGACTTTAGGGTAAAGTATTAATACAAATGGATTTCCCTATCCCTCTTATTCTCTCCAAGCAATAAGAATAAATAAGAGTTAATAAGAGGTATAAGAATTAATGAGAATTAATAGGAGTTATGAATGTGATAGATAATATAATGCCTTTAGGTAGGAGTAAATTTTCTAATTTGAGTATGTAAGTGATATGGAGGCGTTGATATAAAAAGGCTGGCAGTTGGGTGTAGTTGAGAGCTCGGACCAACTTTCAATTGACTATAGCCAACACTTGGGCTACCGTACCTCTAGTCCCTTTATAGCAACGAGCAACCAATGAATCTGTTGGCCGTCTCTTCCCTGCCCGTTTACTCGGAACGAGGTGCACGAGGCAGGTCGGAAAAGAGATCCAAGTCCTCTTCAGTTTCCGTCATCACTGCAAACCACCGAGTTGCACCAACTTCATCCACAACAACAAACCCGACTTCCACCACTTCGCCGGTACCGGCTTTCGCTCCTTCAAACAACGGCCACTTTCTACACCACGATCCTTCCGACTACATCCACAACGAGCTCCTGGAGCCAGCCGTACATGGCCCGCCGTCACCAGAGAGCATTCGACAGCTAAGCAAGCAAATGAAGAAGGCCTCTCAGAGAGACAACCACCTTAGTCACCATACAACCTCATCAGGTTCCTCATCACTACGCTCCTTAACTTCGACCGACTCACCCAGTACCGACAGTCTTTCGAGAAAATCTTCAGGACGGTCAACGAACAGCCACACCATGCCGAACGGAAAGGACCGCCCCGAGAGCGTCCAGATCTTTGGCAAGACGCTTTTTAACCGACGAGGCAGGCTAAAGCGTGAGAGCAGTTCTCAGAATCTGTATTCGGCCGAAATGGGCAGTGATGCCAATCTGCCGCTCCCTCCCACCTCGCAGCCAGCCCCAACGTCAGCCCCTTCGAGGGACTCGTTCTTCAGCCGCCGCCGGACCATCAAGGCTGAGAATGCCGAAGACTCTGTAGGCCAGAGGAAGATTCAGATCTCTGGACCCTACAACTTCCAGCATGTGGCTCATACCAAGAAGGGCAGCAATGTCGATGACTTGCACTTTTCCGACTTCTCGTCCGACTCTCTTCCCCTTGCCGACGTCGATCTGCCACCTTCGCACCGCCCTCCTTCCATGTCCGCGAAGCAGACAACACCACCTCGACGGCTCATCAAGCACGCAAAGTCGCAGGACTCGATGAGCATTGCGCCCCCACGTCCACCTAGGTCCCCGATTGAGGAGTCCATCCCGGTTCCCCCCATCCCGCTACGAGTTTCTAGCCGCGTATCAACACCGGCAGATGGTCTCGACCCATCAACCTTGGGCCGGCCGCTGACAAGTACCGGGTTCCGTCATGCTCAACCACTTGCCGTCGACACCGATAGCCCTACTCCCCCAGTGACATCACATGGGCACAGTCGCATGATGAGTGTCCCTGACAACGATGTCAACTGGCCGTTGCCCGCTCCCGCGAATCCCGCGTTTGATGCCGCTCCGCTACCCAATGTGCCCGAAGAGCAGGAAAGCGCTTCCATCATGAAGCCATCCCGTGCCAGCGTCATGAGCAACTCGTCGCTCCGCGCCAGCCAGTCGGTGCCCATGCTCCGGGCTTTCTCCCCACGACAGGACTGCAGCCGCGAACCCAGCGATACACCATTCACCCTAGTAGACGCCCAGCGCGCCCTGGTGTCCACCCTGGATGAGATGATCGGAGGCGATTCTTCGCTTCCGCGGGAGAGCTGGGAAGACGACATCGACTACTGCTACGAACACGCCGCCGAGGCAGACTGCGATTACGAGTGGGCTCGTCCGTCGATGGACATCAGCCGGGACTGTGGAAGCACCGCGCCCGTGGAGCACCCCTACCACCGCACGAAGCTGTCATGCAACCTCAATACTTCCATGCTCACTCCCGCCCAGCTGGACATCCCATCCCTAAGCCCAGTCAGCCTCAACTCGGCCACCACACCGCACGAAGCCATCACGCCAACAGGAATGACGGCCGCCCTCCCGCACCCCACCCACTCCCACAAAACCTCCAACTTTTCTCTACCAAGAATCGAGGCTCCCACCAGGTCCGCCTCCGACATGCTCAAGACGCCCGAGCTGCACGCGCGCAAGCCCTCGGACGCCTCCAGCTTCAAGGAATCGCACGGCTTCACCCTCTCCCCCTCGCTGCTGATCCCCACCGATTTCCAGCGGCAGATGCACCTGGACTCGCTCGACGAAGGCTTAGGGGCCGGAGCCGAAGGAGACTTCAACGACAGCCGCGGCGGGGAATACCCCTTTGCCGCCCACGCCTTCTCGTCCCTCAAGTACAACCCGCACCGGGCCTCTGCCTCGACAACCGCCACGTTGGAAAGCATCAATTCGGGCCGACACATGTCGACGGCTTCCATCTCGACGGACTTCACGAGGCTGACGCTCAGCACCAATTCGCTGGTGGATATGGAGAACTGCAATTACGAGTCGCCCGTTTGCGATTTTCCCAGCGGCCACATCCGCTCCGAAAGCGTCAGCGCCAAGGGCGGCGCCGCTGCCATGCCCCCCGTTCCCGAGTTCGAAGAAATTTCCGATGAATCCCTTCGCCGAGGCGAGAGTTTCCCTAACCTTGTCGGACTTGGTCAGGCGGCGCAGGATAGTGCCGATGCACCAGCAGCTGCTGGCACGAAGCAGCGAAAGGATTCGCTGCTGGGCGGCCTGCAGAGGCCAGGCAGAGGTCGCGCGAGGACGACCAGTCTTAGCACCCCGCCGCCTCCGAACCAGTTTTCGCTGTTTCCTAATGTGAGGTTGACGGGACCTCAGATCTAGTTTGTCTAGCTCCGTCAGCTAGAGGGGAGCTAGGACAATTATCGAAGCCAAGTTTGGCAAAACAGTCTTTACCATACACCAACACTACCATCAACATCCCGGTGTACCGAATTGTTTTGCTCGAAATAAAGCATACGCGGTAATCGCGCGATTTCCATCCCTTTTCAACAACCAGCCAACCTCCTTCCTCGGAAGAGGAAGGAGTAGCCGGCGTTTTTTCCTTATTACCAACCATCGTCATCCTCGTTATTGAGCATCATCATCATCAGCATCATTCCATTGTTCTTTCCCTTTTTCGTACCTATAGACCTTGGGAATCTGGAGGCAGACAGGCAGACAGGCAGGCAGCAAGCACCGCGCTTTTTTTTTTTCTATTTTCATATCCATCCTGCTTTTTATCGTTATCAGTCAGTCATTCAGTCAGTCCAGAAAGGGCAGTGGAGGAAGGAACGAAGGAAGGATGAAAGGGAAGACAAAACGAGAAAGGAAGGAAAGACGGAAGGGGGAATACCAAAATTTTCCGATTAACTCTTGCCTTTTACACACTTTTAATCCCCTCACTCACCGAAACCCAACAATCACTCGACATCATCACCACACACGCGATCAACACCGACCAACTATCCAATCACTCAACCACAGTTTCAACCACAGTTTCAACAACACACACACTCACTCGCAAGATTCCCAACACCACCACCACACACATTTCCTTATTTTGTCCTCTTCGATTCAAACATTCACGAAGTTATGACCGTCATGAAAGGTGGGGGGGGAAGGAAGGGGAGGGAGATATATATCCGGAGAAGTTTTTACATTGAGCCATTTGTTGAAGAGTCTGTGTCCATAGAAGAGTAGATGTCGCATGGAGCATGTATTGTAACAATCAATGTACCTACCTACCTACCTGTATCTGTTAAAAAAAAACCCTTTACTGGTATATGCTAAAATGTCTCGTTCACATGTTGTATCCGTAAAGCTTTAAGGAAGCTCTGAGACGCGAATCTTGCCAGTCGAGCTTGTGTCAGGGAAACTCGTTGACTATGTGCTCGGCTTATTTTGATAGCAACGTCGGCAGGTTCGGGACGACTCGGTAGAATTTGGATAGTTTACTTAAATAAATTTTCGCTTGTTTCCAAATGTTTTAGAAATTACTCGAGGGTGGTGGGTAGGGGCCGATATTTCCCGTAAATCTGGGATTTTTTCATTTCCTTACACTTTTTCTTACCGAAATTTCTGAAATGATCCGTGCACGAGTCCGTGCACCCACCCAGATTCTACACCGTATGCCAGTTAATCTTTGGCATACACACAATAGGGTAAATCGTTGGAATTATTATATTTTTGTATATCAACTTGCCTCTTACCCTCGCCGTTGCCAGCTCTTTGTTTATATCCTTGTTTATATTACGATGCTTGTTTAACGCTATTTCTAAGTTGTTTGGCGAGAGTTTACCTTCGTTAATAACCGTGGTTACGTTTATTAGACTGCTACTTGCCGTTATTGTTAATATTAAGTATCTGCCAATATTACCCGCCTTTTTCGCTATTTTACTAAGTATGAGAAGTATACCTTCAACTGCGTGTAACGGTAGGAGTGGGGCTGTGAGGATATGTGATGATACGCCTTATCGTTAACTAACGAGTAGAAGGAGAAGGTTAACTTCTATGCCGCTGAAGTAATCCTTCTCGATGGGGTATTAAGACGCCCCGGGCGTATAAGACGACGGCGCTGCTCCTATACGTTACAACTAAGTGTTCGATATTATCGAGAGTGCGTAGTTCTGGGGTAATATTGAGAAGTTTGAGCACTTCCTCTTACTACTTTACGAAGCCTAGTTCGCCTCTAAGGTAGATCGAGTGTACGTTGGCTATGTTATTAAGAAGTAGATTGAAGTTTAGGAGGTATAGAGATAGCTTTAATACTCTATACCCGTTATTAAATGGTAGGAGTTCGAACGTTTCTACGTGGCTAGGAGGACTAAGCAATTAAATTTCCTAAATTAGTTAGGGTTCCTTTTGTTACCTATTATTACTATAGAAGTAGTTGAGGCTATTCGACTTCTTATTCTAAGTATCCAAGTAATGGCTATTACCTTCCTCCAATAGTATGCTTATTGCTTTAACGTACTGGTAGTACGAATTATCAAAGATTTCTTTAATTTTAAAATCCGTAAGAGGATATATGCGCTATATATTTAAGTTTAGGGGTTTAATTTCGAGCTTAAGTAGTTCTGGGCATATTTAATAGACTGTCGATCCGTTATAGCGCCGTTTATAATAAGGGTATTTAATACGGTAGCGAATAGTGTCCCTTGTAAACAAGCCTTCTTGGTTATGAACTTTTTGGAGTTACTTATACGTAACCGTTTATTAGGGGAGAGGATGGATTAAACTACCTTTATTTTTATAAATGGAAAGTATTTATATAATTTGGATAGCTCCTTTACTACGCTAACTTATAAGGAAAGAGAGGCACGTGTGATAGAGATCGAGGAACGCCTATATAATAATATATTAAAGGATAATTAATTAGAATGATAAGACGACGAGTAGAAAGTAAATAAATTATTCGATGAGGAAGTAAGTAAATAAATATTATAAAAAGACTAGTCGATATTCATTTATGTAATTCTCTTTTTCTGTGAATTTTATTAATTCTAGCAAAATCTTTTAGTTAGTTTGCGTTGCCCTACTCGTTTTAGTAGGGAAAAAAACACGAAAAAATGTTATGTGATTTGAAAATTTGGTAAGAGATTTTATTTTTTTATTACTTTACCGAAATTTCGCTTTCTTACCGCTTATAGGAATTTCAGGTCGACTCCTAGTGGTGGGGGCTTTCTATTTGGGCGCCAAGGCTCTTCTACCCTCTCCCTATAAGGAGAGGGTGAAAAAGTTTTGGGATATGAAATTAATATAGGACACTCCATATAGAAATTTACTAGTAAAGTAACCTATCCCTATATTTAATACCTATACTATATATTACAATTTATTAATATAGTATAATTAGAAAGCTTAGTAGAGTATTTAAATTGGAAGTGTAGATACCAAACAATAGATTTAACGATTTATTATTATTATATAGACGAATATAGTACTGCTAACTAACTGTATAATCCTACCCTAACGAACCACTTCCTACTTTATTATTACGTATCTCCTATATTTTTGGGCGGACTTCGTTTTCTATTAACGACCTCATTATCTTTACCTACGTCGTATCTTCGAAATGGCATTCTCGTAAGAAGGATAAGTTGAATGATAAATTCATTATTAGTATTAAGGATAGCCTAGTTATAGAGTTAATTAGTTATATAATATTTAGGGTTAGTGGGATATAGAAATATCGTTTGGGTAAGGGAATTATTACGTTTGTTAGGAGGGTACGTTGTTCGTTTGGTAATAGTTATGCTTCCTTCTCCTTTTCTTCCTTCGCTTATTATAAATCCTTATAAATATTATTAATAAGGGTATTATTGTTGTTAAAATTATTAATTCCTATTACCTAAGAAGTTATTTTAATACGGAGTACGATAAGGAGGGGTAGATAAACGGTAGAGGGGTAAGGTTGTTATTTCGGTTTATTGCCTGTATAAATCTCTATATTATTATCGTTAGAGAGGTGGGGGTAATCAAATAGAGGACGAAGAAATTTAACTAAGTATTCTACTAACTAAAGGGAGTACTCTCTCCCTTCTATATTAATATAGAACTTTTATTCCTCCTCTTTAACGTAAAATATATCCTCTTTATTAATAAGGATAAATTCCTACTTTTTCTCCTCTTTATATTATTCTTAATATATATTCTAATAGACATTCTCCTTACTATTAGGGTTTTTGACTGTAACGGGTCTGCAAGATTATTGCACAGTAAAAAGTCGTATAAGGTTGAAATGCTATATTTGATAAGGAAAGCAAGAAGGAAGATTGTATTAGAAGGGTGTAGTCGAAATAGGGTTTTATAGTATATAGGATGGTAGAGCCTAGACGGCGCGGGGTAAGTAAATAAGTAGAGCTTAGCTAATTAGAAGGCTCGTATCGGCTTATATTATTGGGAAGCCGTATATAACCGGCTTGGCGGTAGTTAAGTTAAACCCTTGGGCCTTAGCCCTATAATATTACCCCCCTACTCCCCTAGGCCCTCCGTATAAAATGAAAAATACGAAAAAGACTAAAATTTAGTATAATTATACCTATATTAAATGTTCGCAAATAGGGAAAAGTTAATAATACTAAGAGAAGTATTTATATTGAGCTCTTAAATAAACGTTGTATAACTACCTACCCACTACCCGAATCGGTAACGAACGTACTCGCCGTTACCCTTATAGAACTATACCTAAAAGCTACGGGTATTAAGATTATAAGGGCGCTAGTATGGATAAGTCGAAGGCAAAGCTAGGATTCTATCTATAATAGAAGATTTAAAGTAAGGAGAAGAAAAGAGAGAGAACTAGCTATATACGTACAGACCCGAATAAATACTTTAATTATATAAGCGATAGCGGGACCTATATGTGGGTCGCTAATAGCTAATACCTTTATATATATCCCCTTTACCTATATAATAAATACTACGCGTGCTAAGATCCACTTTATACCTAGTTTTAATATAGTTAATTGAATAAAATATATCCCTTAGTCCGTACTATACCCGGAAACCTTTATATACTTTATTCTAATATCCTTCCTCTAACTACCTCGTATATAGTACCCAAACCCAATTTACTAGCGCCGTTATATTACCCCTCCCTATATAAAAAAATCGTTTACGAATTTTACTAAATAAAATATATTAATATTCGTAATAATCCAATCTTCCCCTTATTTGCGTATAATCCTTTATAATCGCCGAAATCCTTTAAATTTAAATAATTCGTTATCGTCGTACTCTTCCTAATCTTCATTCAATTAATTTATTAATCTTTTAAGCAGGCCCGCAATATTCGGGTTAATTTTATAAAAGTTTTAAAGAACCTTCGGGGCGTATTTGAA